TCTCCAGCCCTCCCACTTCCCAGCTGTGTGACATTGCAAGTCACTTTACCTGTCTGAGCCACCATTTCCTCATTTGAAAAGTGTGTTATATCACACCCATCCCAGGGGTACTGTGAGAATTACATAAATTGAAGTATGTGGAAGGCCTGCCCCTCCGTAAACATTATTGTCTATGCCTCCACATTCTGGAAATTGAACAACCACTGAGCTACATCTGTGAATGGATATTGAAACACGGACATTACCTTGTCTTCACTACAACTTCCTGTCTGGTTCTTCCTCCTCCCTTACACGCCCCCAATCACTTCTTTTCTACAGTAACCTTCCTGCTTACTGTAGGGGTATGGGTAATAGGGGAAGATTTCCTGCACCCAAAGAAGACAAAAAAGAAGGGGCAGGAGGAGGTTGAAATGGGAGGTGTTTGGGTCAAGAACCTGAGCACATGAGCACTACCAGGAAGGGCACTAAAGAACCAAAAAAACAAACCACTGTCGTCGAGTCAATTCCGACTCATAGTGACCCTGTAAGGACAGAGTAGAACTGCCCCATAGGGTTTCCAAGGCTGTGAATCTTTACAGAAGCAGACTGCCACTTCTTTCTCCCACAGAGCAGCTGGTGGGTTCGAACCACCCACTTTTCGGTTGGCAGCCGAGTGCTTTAACCACCGTGCCACCAGGGCTCCTTGAGCACAGGAGCACTATCAGGAGGAGCACTACACCACCAGGAAAATGGACTCTCCTTGTTGAGAGTTCTTGAGGAAAAATAACCTGCCATTTGTAGTCCTGAAAGCATCAGCCTCAGCAACAACACATCTTAGCCCTCAACAGCGGAGAGTAAGAAAATCCAAAGAAGTGAATTTTTCCCAGGAATTTGAAAGCTTACTGAATGCGGTAGATTGATGGACTGCATCAGTGGCCTCAATTCTTCACCCTCCCCTATAGCCACAGCATTGTCATGTGACTTTGCATCTCCTCCCATCAAGAGGCGGAGTCATCCCTTGATTCTGAGAGGGCCATGTGACATGCTAGGACCAATGGGATGTTAGCAGATGTGACATGCTGCTAGCATCTCTCCTGCTTCAGCCATCACCAAGAGAACATGCCCAGGCTACCCTGCTGGGCCCAAGAGGCAAAGGAAAGATGCACGGAGCAGAGATGCCACAGCAAAAGTGCCCAGCTAAGCCAGCCTGGAGCCCAGTCCTTCCACAGACCTGTGAGGGAGCCCGACCAGGCTCGGCCAAACCCAGGCTAGATCAACCTACCCTTATTTAACCTGCAGACACACGAACTTCAATAATAAGTGATTGTCATTTTAAGTCAATGAGTCTTACGGTAGTTTATACCCAGCAACAGTTAAAACAGTACATCTAACATTTTTAATAATTGCATGTTTAATAGAAATCATTCTAAAATGTATCTGACACTTACCTGCCTTCTTAAGCAAAATAAAGTGAATACAATTCAATTTTCACCAGATTGTTCATGCTCACCACTGATGAAAAGCAATCAATGCTCCATAAGCCAACGATGTCCTCAGGGGTTACGTACAGAATGGAGGCTCTAGAAATAATTCCAGTCTACTGTTCTCTTTGGAAACTCAAATCTAGTCCCTTGGTCTTTATAATGTGTCTTGTAATCAACTTTATCAGCTGTAATCTTCTGTATTGTTATTGTGTCTATCTTAACTCCCTTCTTCCCAACCTAATGTGCTGCACCTAATTTACTCTACCCCTTCAAGAAACCAACCTATGCCTGTTAGAATGGTTAGAACAGTGTCTAAGCAAGAGTTAATAGGCTTAGAGTAACTGAAATGGTTTTATGACTATCAAATGTATGTGCTTAAGTGCTGGGATTTCTATTCTTGATTTTGACCTCCTTGATGCTTCTTGATCTTTTCTGGTGCTCCTCTGGGAGCAGGCAGTGGAGGTTGCCAGGTAAGGAACATCTGACCCAGACAGGTGGCGCTGTGTTCCTCCATTGTTGGAATACGGTCTTTGCTGAGGAGAGTGAGGGACAACTCAGCTATGAAAGTAATTACTGGCCTACTGGCCAGCAGTGGTCAGAGTTAGCCACCAGATGCTTCCCTCCATCACAGCCCCTCTCTGCACACAGTGCCTCATGTTAGAACAGTAGGGGACTATGGGTTCCCCCAGAGCAGAGGCAGCATCCTGCTTGTCTCTGTGTCCCCTGAGGCACTTAGCACAGCACCAGGCACACAGTAGGCACTCACTAAGTTATGGTGGGTGGAATGAAAAGATTTTCTTGGTGGCCGTTGTTTCTCTGTGCCTAGGGTCATCTTCTTCAGAAGAATTAGAATCTATTATCAGCTTCTGAAATACTCTGCATCAAATTGTTGGAAAATATTTTCAAAGGAGTGAAGTTGTCCTATGTTGAGAAGCAGTTCCTATTTCAGGGCATAAGTTTATTTTCTGAACTGTGCTATCATGAAGCCATGTGACTAAATGAGGGGGACAAAGTCAAGCGATGCTATAGGAGAAAGCAGATATTTTCGCAGTCTGTTGAGCTGTTACCTTAGGGGTTCCCCCTAGGTCTGACCTTTTTTTTAACCAAATGTCTAAAGACCGCATGTCCAACCAGAAAATTGGATTTAGCAATTCATCAGATATGCCTGTGGATGTACGAGCTGGTTTTTCTATGTTCCCACCCCTCCTCCTTCGCTCTCTGCCCTTCTCCTCCCTGCTCTGAGCCCCAAGGCTGATCCCCTGGACCGCATCAAGGGACTTCCCTGCCCTCTGGCTTTGTGTTGGGTTTGGCCTATGGGAAGCATTGGTGATGGGAAGTGGCAGGAGAGAGGGCAGAGTATTTCTTCTCCATTTTCTCCCTGTTTTGAGTCCCTCGTGGCCAAAGCTTCTACTCAGCGGCCCCTCCTGCAAGGCTCCACACCTCCCCGGGATCCATTTCCCAATGTCCTCCCCTTGCCTCTTCAAGCACAGGGGGTAGGAAATGTTTCCCACGATTCGAAATCTCTAGGTGCCTCAACATTCCTTGTTGGTTCCCTTAACCCTACCCACACCTCTGAAAATGGCCCCTCCTTTCAAATCTTTTCATCTGAGCCATCTGAGTTGTTTCCTTTTCCTGCTGTTACCCTGACTGGTACAATCTGCAAAAACTGTTACTTAAGATGCATCTAAGCCCTGGCACAGGGCTTCATACCTCTCTCTAGGGAAAGGCATTCAAAGAAAACCAGAGGCTGTTTGGTCTCTAGCTTTCAGAATTCACGATTAGCAATTTGGGGTCTATCTAAATGAAGTGATACAAAGTGATGGTAAACCCTAATCTACAAATGAGAAAAGTTCTTATTCCCTCATTCACTCATTCATTCACCAGATATTTATTGAGCACCTACTATGTGCCAGGCACTGTTCAGACCCTGGAGAAACAGTGATGATGTACAAGATAGATACAACCAATCCCTGCCCACATGGTGCATACAATCTAACCTCAACAGTCTCCCAGAAGTCAGAGGACCCATCAGAGCCCAACTAGAAGATAGAGTTTCCTTAAGTCTGAGCCGTCGGCAGATTCTCAGAGGGATCCAGGACTCAAACAAGGCTAAGAACCACCAAATTAACTATCAAGTTTCCCCCCCTTGAACAGGGGAATAATAACCCACCTGCTTACAGAAGAAGCTTGGCACCCTCAGTTTGAATTTGGGTCGGGGGCATTTTGGTGCTCACTGTGGTGGCACAACCACCCACGTTTCCTGTCCACCCACTCCCCCCAATATCCTCCACAGATTCCCCTCTGTCCTCCCTCAGTTCCTCACACTTTATAATTAGCCCACATCCTCCTCTGAGTCGCTCCCTCAGGGCCCACAGATGTTGGCAGCCACACCATGCCGATGTGTTGTTTTTATGAATGGAGAGCGGCTGGGGCTGGATTCAGAGATGTGCCCTCTCAGAGGGCCTGGTGCTTCTGGCTTTGTCTCTTTAGCAGAGGCAGTGAGGATGAATTTCTGCTTCAACTGGAGTATCTATGAGATTCATTTGGAGGACTTGACTAAAACTGCCTTTGCTGGGGAGACCCAGGGGAGGCTGGGGTGAATTGGGGGTGAGGTGTGGCAGTATGTGAGGAAATAAGTAGCAAGCCTGGGGTTGGCCTGCCTCCCTCAAGTCTCTGGAAACATTTGAGTTTCCTCAGAAAGGTATAAACAGGTCTTACCGGTAACCCAATACTTCCCCTGCTCCGGGTCAGGAAGGATAAGGGCGATAGGCTAGTGCTCTCAGAAAAGGTTACCAAGCTGGCAGAATAAGCTCCTTCCCCAAGTCCCCAGCCCTGCACCAGCAGACGCAGCCAGCTGCAGGCCCAGCTGTCACACTGGAAGCCCCTCCACGTCCCCCTGGCAAAGCCCCCTTCTCTCAGGACCTCTGGCCGTCTGGTCTGGGGCTGAGAGGTAGTCTCACTCCCGGAAGAAAGCTCAAACAGGAAAGAAAGCAGGGCTGGAGAAACGAGAAACCTAATCCTGAGGCTACAAGGGGGCCCTGGTCCCTGGGAGAATCAACTGGACTGGGCTCTTCTGCAGACTGTCCTGGCGGTGGACACTGCCCAGGCTCGGGCAGGGCATGTTTACCCAACAACATCCCCTTTGCATTAAGCCCGGTTTGGAAGAGGTCAGAGGTGTATTTATAGAAAAATCTGGGACTCACTTCTCTCTGTCTCTTTTGGACTCCCCAAATTCCTGACCACAATGAAATCATGCAACAAATTGCGAGAAGGAGTGAGGAAGGCAGAAACCATTTTTAAAGGGCCTCTGGCTTTGAGCAGCTGGGTGGGGGCTGGTAGGAACAAGGACAGGGGGGCTTCTGCGAAAAGCTTGGGGGACAGGAAGCTGCTGTGGTGGCCAGCTCCCTTCCAGCCTCCCTCCACCGAGGGTAGAATGGGAAAAATATCAAGACACGTTGCAAAACAATCTTCCTTCCTCCTCTCCCCCCACCCACCCCCTGACAAATGGAAGAGAGGAAAGTTGTGGTCATCATTTACCTGCTGAAATTGGGAGGACGCTGTTGACGAAAGTAGGCTGAGACACGATAAAGCGGAAGAAAAGCTGAAGGTAAATTCCCACAGTCATTGGATTCAGAGCAACCATGCTGGCTGGGGTCTGGCAAGTGTCAAATTTAGAGGAAGCTGCTCTGGGGCCTCGCTTATCTCAGCTTTTGTCTTCCTCACCGCTGTCTGCGCTCCTCTCTCTCTCAGCCTCTCTCTCCCACTCTCTCTCCCTCTCCCTCTCCCTCTCTATCTCTCTTCCCTTTCCTCATGCCTTTACTAAGAAAGAATGCCAACCATTTCCCATTAAACCTTCTCCGTACTACACGGGGTTATATTTATCTCAAGCACTGGATCAACTGCCCACATTAAAATTAAGATGTCAGAATTTTCTTTTTTGGAGACTGAGGTAAGTGGCTATTGAAGAGGTGATGAAAACACAGCCAAGTCTCAAATGCTAACTAGGAGCCATCCTCAAGGGCAGATGGATTACCTCATTGATTCTCCAACATGTACTTGCTCCGACCTACACCGTCCTGCAGCATCGCAGGCTCAACTCTCCTGATTCAAATGGAGCTTCCATGACCACAAACTCCTCTGCGGTCAGCCTTGACACTTTTACCCACTGAGTGACAGTTCTACTCTGCCCTATAGGGTTGCTAGGAGTCAGAATGGACTCCACAACAGTGAGTTTGGTTTGGTTTGGGTGAGTGACAAATGTAAAGTTGACCTCTGATATATTTTTTTCTTTAATCATCCACTAAAAAGTAGAGGAGTTTATATTTTAAAAACAGCTTTCCCTGTCAAAAAAAAAAGGAAGTATTTATTTCTCTCCAGAAGCTGCAACTTTTTAATCCCATGCAAAACAAAATAAATGAAAACAGGCAATGGATGGAAAGTTAGCAATTATTTATCAAGCTATATTTGGAGAAGTTGCATCATTGACTTGATCTTTGACTAGACAAAACTCTTCAAATAAAAATTACTGCATCTTTAAATGAATTTCTTTTATGAGCTTATAAAGCCTCTTACAGAGATCCTTGGGTTACTAAAATAATTAAAATAATAATCCACAGAGTTGTTCATTTTGCTTAATTTACATAACATACTCCCAATGTCTCCTGGGAGTTAATGCAGAGACAGTCTGGCAACCACTGGACCCTGGGATGGCCTCCTTGAGGAGGTGTGCAGAGCCTCGTTCAGGGGGAGGTAGAGTTGGGTTGAGTCATGTGCTAAGGCGTAGTATAAGACGAGCATTAAAAATCCTTGAGTGGCACAAAGGGTTAAGCCGTTGACTACTGGCCAAAAAGTTGGCAGATCGAACTCATCCAGAGGCACCTCAGAAGACAGGTCTGGCAATCTCTTCTGAAAGGTCACAGCCTTGAAGACCCTATGGAGCAGTTCTAGTTCTACTCTGCACACATGGGGTTGCCATGAGTCAGAATCAGCTCAACAGCAACTAACAACAATATAAAGCGTTAGTACCAGACCTGGGCATGACTCCCAGCTCTGCTGTGTGATCATGGACAAGTTATTTGGTCTCTCTAAGCCTCAGTTTTCTCATCCATAAGATGGAAATAACGTTCCCTTTAAAGATTTGTCAGAAAGGTTAAATGAGGTAACACTGGATGAATTCTAAATGAATTACTCTATTTTTAAGCAAATAATGCACACCTTCCATGTTTGTTTACCAAGCACGCCTTCCCCCCTGCAAGGTATCTTTGTAAGTGCTGCTATGCTATTTTTTTTTACATGTTACCGTAAAAAAAAAAGAAAAAAATAGCATAGTGTGTGTCTTAGTCATCTAGTTCTGCTATAACAGAAATACCACAAGTGGATGGCTTTAACAAACCAAAGTTTATTCTCTCACAGTCCAGTAGGCTAGAAGTCCAAATTCAGGGCGTCAGCTCCAGGGTAAGTCTTTCTGTCTCTGTCAGCTCTGGAGGAAGGTCCTTGTCATCAATCTTCCCTTGGTCTAGGAGCTTCTCTGAGCAGGAACCCTGGGTCCAAAGGATGCGCTCTGCTCCTGGTGCTGCTTTCTTGGTGGTATGAAGTCCCCAACTCTCTGCTCGCTTCCCTTTCCTTTTATCTCTTGTAAGATAAAAGGTAGCGTAGGCCACAACCCAGGGAAACTTCCCTTACATTGTGACCTTAGTAAGGAATACAACACCTAGGAAAATTACAATCACAAAATGGAGGACAACCACACAACCCAGGAACATGGCCTAATCGAGTTGACACATATTTTTGGGTGACACAATTCAATCCATGACAGTGTGCTTATAAAAATACCCTGTGGGCAGGGGATGAGCGGGAGGGCATGGTTGGCTTAGTGTGCGTTATTTGGGTAAAAACGTGGTGGAACCTGTATATAGAGACAGCAAAAATGAAACTCAGGGAGCCATGGTAGATTGGGTGCAAAGATAGCCCCCAAGAATCCCTCCCCTCCCTGTATGCACATGCTGTTTTCCCATCAATAGGTGGAATTCATTGCCTCTTCCGTGGAATCTGGGCTGGCCTTGTGACTTGCTTTGACCAATAGAATGTTACCAAAGTTACCCTGTGCTAGTTCCAGGTCTGGCAGCTTCTACTTTTGTCCTTTCTTGGACTCCAGGTGGCCACATAAAGAAGCCTGAGCTATTGGAGAGGCCACATAGAGGGGGAAGCAGCCATCCCTAGCTGTTCTGGCCATTCAAAATGAAGCAGTAAGCATGTGAATGAGGCCATTTTGGGTCATCTAGCCCCATTCAGATCTCCATATAACTGCAGTCACAGGAGTAACCCAGGTGAGACCAGCTGAAGAACTGCACAGCTGAACCCAGCCCAAATTACAGAATCACAAGTAAATAAGATGGCTAGTGTTTTAAGTCACTAAGTCCCAGGATGGTTTGTTATGCAGCAATAGATAACTGACACAGGGTTTAAAGATCCCTGGAAGGCACAAATGGTTTGCTCTCAGCTACTAACTGAAAGGTTGGTGGTTCCACAGAAGAAAGTGGCACCACAGAAGAAAGTCCTGACAATCTATTTCTGTAAGATTACAACCATTGAAAACCCTATAGAGTTCAGTTCTACTCTGAAACACATGGGGTTGCCAAGAGTCGGAATTGACTCCATGGCAACAAGTTACAGGGTTTATAAGGAAAGTATTTGAAAGCATGAAGAATATACTTGGGCTACATTAAAAACTAGTAGGAGAACTTAAATATTGTAGAAGCACCTCACTTAGCTACTGTCTTAGTTATCTAGTGCAGCTATAACAAATATACCACAAGTGGATGGTTTTAACAAACAGACATTTATTTTCTCAGAGTCTAGTAGTCTAGAAGTATGAATTCAAGGTGCCAGCTCAGGGGGAGCCTTCCTCTCTCTGTAGGATATGGAGGAAAACCCTTGTTATCAATTTTCCCTGGTCGTGGAGTTTCTCTGGGCAGGGACCCAGGGTCCAAAGGACTCGCTATTCTCCTGGCTCTTGTTTCTTGGTGGTATGAGGTCTCCCTGTCTCTCTGCTTGCTTCTCTCTTTTATATCTCAAACGATATTGACTTAAGACACAACCTAATCTTGTATAGATAAAAGAGTCCTGCCTCATTAACATAACTGCCGCTAATCCCACCTCATTAACATCATAAAGATATTATTTACAACACATAGGAAAATCACATCAGATGACAAAATGGTGAACACAATACTGAGAATCATGGCTCAGCCAAGTTGACACATATTTTGGGGGGACAAATTCAATCCATGACAGCTACTCCTACAATGTTTAACATATTCGACGGTGTGGATCATAACAAATTATGGTTAACATTGCAAAGAATGGGAATTCCAGAATACTTAATTGTGTTCATGAGGAATCTGTACGTAGACCAAAAGGCAATTGTTCGAACAGAACAAGAGGATACCGTGTGGTTTAAAGTCAGGAAAGATATGCATCAGGGTTATATCTTTTCACCATGACTATTCAATCTGTATGCTGAGCAAATAATCTGAGAAACTGGACTACGTGAAGAAGAACGTGGCATCAGGATTGGAGGAAGACTCATTAACAACCTCTGTTATGCAGATGACACAACCTTGCTTGCTGAAAGTGAAGAGGACTTGAAGCACTTACTGATGAAGATCAAAGCCTTCAATATGGATTGCACTTCAACATAAAGAAAACAAAAATCCTCACAATTGAACCAATAAGCAACATCATGATAAACGGAGAAAATATTGAAGTTGTCAAGGATTTTAATTTTACTTGGATCTACAATCAATACCCATGGAAGCAGCAGTCAAGAAACCAAATGATGCATTGCGTTGGGCAAATCTGCTGCAAAAGACCTCTTTAAAGTGTTAAAAAGCAAAGTGTCACTTTGGGGACTATGGTATTTTCAATCACCTCATATGCATGAAAAAGCTGGGCAATGAATAAGGAAGACCGAAGAAGAATTGATGCCTTTGAATCATGGTGTTGGTGAAGAATATTGAATATACCATGGACTGCCAGAAGAATGAAGAAATTTGTCTTAGAAGAAGTACAGCCAGAATTCTCCTTAAAAGCAAGGATGGCGAGACTATGCATCACATACTTCGGACACATTGTCAGGAGGGACCAGTCCCTGGAGAAGGACGTCATGCTTTGTAAGGTAGACAGTCAACGAGAAAGAGGAAGAGCCTCGACGAGATGGATTGACACAGTGGCTGCAACAATGGACTCAAACATAGCAACAATTGTGAGGATGGCGTAGGACAGAGCAGTGTTTCATTCTGTTCTACATAGGGCCATTATGAGTCGGAACTAACTCGATAGCACCTGACAACAACAATGTTTAACAGGAGGAGCTGTGATTGTTGGCTAAACCCAATAAAAAAATTTTCAGGTTTGCTCCTGTTAACTCTTAGAGCCACAGCCTAGCAGTGGACTTTTGGTGGCTTAGAGAACGTACAGTCCACCTGGGAGAAAGGTAACTCCTGAGTAACTTGGTGTCAGAATCGAACCCTTCACCATCCAGCTCAAATTCCTCCTCTGTGAAGCTGGAGTGATTTCTTCCTTCTCTCAGAGTGCAGGGTTCCTCACCAACTATGCACTTGGCCCAAATTATGTCAGTTATAT